CTCCGACGTGGGCGCTGCAGGGGACGCGCCGGCCCCGGTCCGGGACAAGGATGGAGACGCCAACGTGGGGAGCAGCCACTGGGAGCTGAGGTAGCGGAGCGCCCGTGCCTTGAGCCTTAACCCCGACCCGCACCCGGACCCGGACCGGCACCCGCACTGGCGACTCTCCCTGCTGCCCTGACAGCGGCTGCGGGCTCCGAGTCCGAAAACTTGGGCCCCAGACTAAGTGAAGCAGGTGTCCTTGAGCCCCATGGGGAAACTGAGGCTGTGGGGTAGGGTCATCCGCCAAGGTCACCGGGTGGGGCCCAGGCAGAGGGCATCAGCGGCAGCCCCGCTCCCAGACCTTCCCAGGTCGGCGCATCCTCAGGTGGGTCTGCAGTCTCCGCCGTGCGTCCTGGCTCGCGCTGCAGTGTCCTGGGAGGAGGAAGGAGGGATCTGGCCTTTGAGACACTGGCCCTTCTGAGAGCTAGGGGTGCCTTGGGACAGGGAGTGCTCCCAGAGGAAGACTTAGGAAGGGAGAGCAGGAGCTGAGTCCAGGGACAGGGCAAGGGGCAGTGAGGGGCTGCCTGTCCCTGCAGGCCTCCCCAGGTCTGCGTGGTTGCCGCTCCTGGGAAGGGGCAGAGCGCCGGTCCTGTGGCCTTCTCTACGTGGGTGCAGGAAGGGGTGAGGTGGACACCATGAGGGGCTGCCCTGGAGTGAGAGCTGCGCTGCCTGGGCGCTGCCCCCTCCTCTAGCTGGCCTCCGTCGGACACTGCCACTCCTGGCCCCTTTCTGGCCCCTTTCTGGCTTCACTCCGCCTAGGCCCTCTGGGGCTGGGGCTCAGAGAGCGGTGAGGGCAGGGTTTGCTCTCTGCGGCTCGGCTCGGGGTGCCGGGAAGGCAGCAGGGTGCAGGCACTGTTGGTGTCCTCGGGTACTGGCGGTTCACCTGGGCGATAAGATAACCCAGTGAGAGGCAGGCGTGGAGCAGTGTGGACAAAGGTCGGCAGCTGAGGAGGCCTCAGTCACCGTGGGGGAGGAGGGTGCCCTTCTGAGGGGCACTTGCTCCCAGGGGCCACTCGCGGGGTCTGCTGTCACCTGCCCTGTTCCCTTTCTCTCCTGGAGACAAGGGTGTGGGAGCTCGCAGATGGCCGTGTGGCCGCTGCCCGCAGTCTGCTGCTTGCACCGGCCAGCAGGTCTCTCTTCCCTGTCCGGCCCAGTGCCTGCCCCGCCGTAGGGGACAGGGACACAGGCCATCGCAGGGCTCTAGACAGTGGGCTGTGTGCTTTTCCCTAAAGCCCCGGGCGCAGCAGGGCTTGGGCCCACGGGTCGGGCTCTTGGCGGCCAGGCCTCCTGGCCGTGGCCTGCAGCTCGGCCCCTGTTCACCCCTCACCTGCCTCTGTCCGTCCTCGCTTCCCCTGCAGTCCCAGGCCTCCTCCCCGACACTTCCTCTCACCTGGGGCTGGCCGGTGAGTCAGGCTCTGGTGCGAGCTCATCCTTCATTGGCGCGGTGAGGCAAGGAGGCTGGGAGCAGAGGGCGCCTGGCCTGCTCCGCCTGTGACTCGCCCCTCTCGGCTCTCTGCTGCCGGCCCGTGGCTCATGGACACCCTTGAGTGTCTATGGGTTCTCCCAGGGCGTTTGTCCCTGGGACACCCACTTTCTGAGGGGAGTGGGGAGACTGCCCCCCCCATTTCACATCCCTGACTTCCCCTGAGGACCCTCCTGGCTCTCACTCTGCCTGGCCCTGGAGCCAGCCTGCATGGGCCCCGGGCCCAGGCTAAGTCAGGTGGCCTCTGGGCAGGCCTCATCGTACACCTGGGCACTGGCTTGAGCTCAGTTCTCGGTGCCGTGTGGGACTGAGTCTCAAGTCCTCCTGGCTGGTGAGCCTGGGGCCTGCAGGGGTTGGGGGCTGCGGTTTTCTTGGCCTGGGGAATGGTCACAGGGCAGCTGGAAGGCGCAGGGGCACAGGCAGGCCTTCAGTAGGTGAGAGCGTGGCAGCACTGGGCACTGGCCGTCCTGCCTCCCCGCCACCCTGCCCTCTAGCCCATTTGCCGCTGGCCGCCCTGGCAAGCCAGGCTTCTGCAGGCACGGGCGGACGGGGCTTCCTCCCCTAGGTTAGGGCCTGTGGCCTCTGGGAATGCTGTGCATTGGGGCTGGTCAAGAGGCCTGTGCAGGGATGAGGCATGGAGGAGTGAGGCTTTGGGAGCCCAATAGGAGGGACCTGGATGAGCCGTGATGCCACTGGTCTCAGCTTTGGGGAGTTCTCCCTTTTGCCATTGCTGTTCCCGCCTGGGATGAAGCCAGAGTGACTACACTCGGCCAGGGGCAGGCTCACCCAGTGGGGTCGGTCATGGGGCCAGAGGACAGCAGTTAGGTCCTGCTAGGAGGCAGCGGCTGGGACGCTTGGGGCTGGTTCTGGGGGAGACAGGGCTGCAGGCATCCAGGAGGGCTGTCATTCCTGGGGAGTGGGGCCTCCTGGAGTTGGGCCCTGGGGAACTCACACTCAGTTTCCAGGAGGAGGACTGGGAGGGGCACCAGGGCAGCACAGTTGGAAGGGCGGACTGGACTGGCGGGGAGAGACCAGGGCCTCACCGCAGGGAGCCTGTGTTGGAGGCTGGGAGTGGGTGGGGCTGGGCCAGGCTGGAGCGCCTGTGCTGGCTCTGCAGCCTGAGGTGCCAGTGGAGGGGAGCACCCTCCCCCAGCCTGGGGGTGCCAGGGTCAGTGCAGACCAGGAGACCTTGACCTGCGGGCAGAGGTCAGTCCTGTTGGCATTGGCTCCTGGGTGGGGCCGCCTGACTGCTGACCCCAACCACAGCCTGCCTGCTGTGGGCACTGAGGCCAGGCCAGCCCGGGAGGGCATGCGGTGCCTGCCTAGGTGCCCTGAGGCGTATGTGGGGGAAAGGGAGGCCTTGGCCTCTTACAAAACCGAGGCCTTGCCTAATTCTGTGAGGGGCTTCCGGATGGCGCGGAGCTGGGGGAGAGTGAACTGGGGCACTGGCTTCTAGCCTGCTCCGGGCCGGGCCTAGCCACACGGCGCCCGTCTGCTGGGCCAGGAACCCCCTTCCTGAGAACCAGGCAGCGTGTGCTGTGCCCCAGCCTGGCTACAGGTGGGGCTCTCCAGGTGGGTGCCGGCTTCTGCCAGCCCCTGCATTGGGTGCCTCCCCGGCGGGCTCCTCTCTGCCTTCAGTGCAGGCAGGGACAGTGCTTGCCCCGTGCTCAGACTGGGACAGGGGAAGGCCCCATGACCATGTAGTGCAGGTCCCTGCCCCCAGAAAGGTGCATATCAGGCCAGCAACGGGTGGCCCTGGGCCTGGCCTCGGTGCCCGCTGGGCCTGCCTGAGCAGGGCGCACTCGATACCACCCTCTGTCCCCGCACTTGGGTTGTCCCATGGCCCAGTGGCACTGCCAGCTAGTGCGGTGGCAGCTGGAGGCCTGGGGAGGGTGGGTGGGCCTCGGCCCAGCAAGCCAGGCCGAGCTTCCTCCTGCTGCAGCGTGCTTTGCCGGGCTGCCTGGAGGGGCTGGCCCCCGCAGTGCTGAGCCCCGCCTGCTGCAGGCTGTGCCATCACTGTCACTGACACCATGTGGCCTGAGCCCTCTTATCTGGGAGTGGGCTGTGTGGGCAGGACCGAAGGTTGGGGTGGGAGTGTGGCCCCGGCTGCTGGCCGATGGAGGCTGGGCCCCCTCACAGGGTGCTGTCCCCTGCTCTGCCAGGTGCCATCGCCTGCAGGACTCTCTGTTCAGCTCTGACAGTGGCTTCAGCAACTACCGAGGCATCCTGAACTGGTGTGTGGTGATGCTGGTGAGTGGCCGAGCCAGCAGCAGGTGGCAGTCTGCTGCCCACGACACAGGGCCTGGGAGCGTGTTGCTCCCTGCAGCAGCCCTGAGAGGACTGCCTTGTGTGGGCTCCAGCCCTGGGTGGTGCGGGGAGGCAGTGCAGTGGCCCCTGCAGTGGCCCCTGCCGTCTGTCCTGCTGGGTCTCAGAAGAGCCCAGCACCCGGCAGTGGACTCTGGGAAGCTGGCTTCACCAAAGGCACATGGTGCCCTGGGCTCTGCCGGGCTGGCGTGAGGGGCCATGGGTACAAGGCAGGGTCTCTGAGAGGCCTTGGCATCTTAGGCTGTGCTGCCTCAGTGCAGAGCCCCTGGCAGGCCAGCCACGGCTTTCCAGGCCTCCTGATGCGTCCCAGGCCGGTCCAGGAGCCCCCAGGGAGGTGGCTGGCTGGGACCCCAGGCCATGTCCTGGGCCTGCTGCCTCTGGGCTGCTTCCTGATGGTGCGGAGCTGGGGGAGCATGAACTGGAGCACTGGTTTCTGGCTGCTCCTGCTGTCCTTGCCAGGGGCTGGCTCTGGTGTTTTGTGGATTGGGCCGGCAGCCCTGCTCCAGAAGCAGCTGCAGTCCAAGGCTCACAGGGCAACCTTCAGGGCCAGTCGGGACAAGGGCCTGCTTGGGTGTGGCCTCTGCCACCCAAGTCCTCGGCCTGCAGCCTGAGTGTCTGCCTCTGCTCTGGGCGTGGCTCCTGTGGCTGCCCACTTGGGGGGGCCACTCCCCCACCTGTGGCCCCACGAGGTTCCTGGTCTCCCAGCATCCTTAGCCTGTGGGGGCACAAGGCCTGCTGGGTGAGAAGTTGACCAGGTGAGGGAGCAGTGGGCCCAAGCCAGCTGGCCTCTGGGAGCTCGTGTTCCTTCCCTGGCCTGGCCTGGGTCTGTGAAGTCACTGTGCAGGGACATCTGTGGCAGTCCTGTCTGATCTGGCCCCCACCCTGCCCTGGAGGAGACCCTTCTGGCTCAGGTGGAATCCTCTGGCCTGGGCCTGAACAGTCGTCCATGGTCTGCCCCACTCCTACCTGCTCTGGGTTCTTGGGAGAGGCCCCAAGGCTGGGTGATGGTGTAGGGCCACATGTGTCCGAGCCAGCTGCCTCTCCCATGTAGCCTTCCATGACTGCCCGGGCGAGGGTCCCCACTAGTGTCCCCTGCCATTGTGGCATCTCCTTAGCATGTCACCACCCTGTTCAGGGCCTGCAGGGTAGTCAGCCGGGTCTGTGGCATAGGGGCCGAGTTACAGGAAGCCAGCTGTGCCTGGAGGATGCAGGGGGCTTCAGGAGACTGTTTAATGGGGACTAAGTCTTTGGAAGCTGCTTTTGGGCCGAGCATCCCAAGCCACTCACCACAGCCCCTCATGACTTTGGCCTGGTCTCCTCGAGGCCGCGCTCCCCTGCTGAAGCTGCTTGCCACATGGCTGGGCACTGCAGGGACTGACTGGCTGGTAGGGCTGTTCCTGGGCCAGACTGCCCGCATGGGGCTCAGCTGTGGGCAGCTGTGGGCTGGGGGCTGTCACTACGTGGTGGACAAGAGCATCAGGGGCCATGCTCTGCCAAGTGGGAGGGATTATGCCCCGGGGGGTGGTTTCCTCGAGCAGGCCTTTCGGCCAGTACTCAGGGTGGGGAGGTGGGCAGAGTCGGAGCTTGGTGTAGGGGCCAGACAGGGCTGAGTCTGCGAGACAGGCTGGCTGCCTCCCTGACCGAGGGCTCCTACTTCCAGAGATGTCCTCGGTGCTGGACTGAGGGTGCCCGGTGGCTAGGACTAACGGGCTCTGCCCTCTCGTCCTTCTCTTGCAGATATTAAGCAATGCGCGGTTATTTTTAGAGAACCTCATCAAGTGAGTAGGAAATTCCCCAGGTCCGGCCCCGCCCCGCCGGCGCCCCGGCCCCGCCCCAGGTCAGCTGGCGCCCCGGCCCCGCCCCACCGGCGCTCTGGCCCCGCCCCCGCCCCAGGTACGGCATCCTGGTGGACCCCATCCAGGTGGTGTCGCTGTTCCTGAAGGACCCCTACAGCTGGCCGGCCCTGTGCCTAGTGCTAGGTGAGCTGGGCTCCCGGGAGGACCTCGGGCGGGGCTCCGGCTGGCCTGGCACTCAACCTGCCTGTGGTGCTTTGCCCTCAGCGGCCAACGTCTTTGCGGTGGCTGCGTTCCAGGTGGAGAAGCGCCTGGCGGTGGTAAGCAGCGCCCCGCCCCTCCCTGCCACAGCCCTAGGGCTGCCCCGAGGCCGCTGTCCTCCGGCCCAGGGAGGAGCCCCTGCAGGCCTGGCCGCTTTCCTGGAGCCCGGGGCGGAGCGCCGGGTTCAGTGACCCTCCCCACCAGGGCGCCCTGACGGAGCGCGCGGGCCTGCTGCTGCACGCGGCCAACCTGGTCACCATCCTCTGCTTCCCGGCGGCCGTGGCCTTCCTGGTGGAGTCCATCACTCCAGGTGCGCCCCGTCCCTGCCCGCGGCCCCGCCCGCCGCGTCCCGCGGCCGGCTGAGCCCCTGTCTCCCGCAGTGGGCTCCGTGCTGGCCCTGCTGGTGCACACCATCCTGTTCCTCAAGCTCTACTCCTACCGCGACGTCAACCTGTGGTGCCGCGGCGAGG